AGGAATTTTTCTCAGCCAGTTGCCAACATTTTTCAGCACTTGGCTATGAAAGCTGCTGAATGTATAAATAAAGGAATATCATCGGCTTTCATGACATCTCTATCCATCTTCCCAGTATTTTCATGTTTGGATCCAGCTTCTGTGGTTCAGCCAGGTAAATATCAGAGCAGAGTGATAAATAACTGAAGCACTGACCTTGTGGGAAGAAAAGCCTTCAGCGGACCTCGACTGCTTTTTAGGAACAAAGTACATCAGCTACCTTCTGGAGATGCCCCCTTAAGAATGAGGCAAGTACTGAGTTGTGCTGTCGCAGGGAACTTAACCTCAAGCCAGCCCACATTTATTTTCACTGATTTTATTTTATTTTAGCAGAATTTAGAAGAATTTTGACATGTCTTCCTCAATAACACTTTCATAGGTTTGACTTGGTGCAAGACTAAATGTTTTCAGCTTTGCTTTTGATGTTTGGCTAAAAAAGCTCAGTAATTTTTGATTATGAGTGTCACTTCTTTTAACTGACACCAAACTAAATGCGATAAAAATTGCTTTTAGGACAAAAAAAAAAAAGTTCAGAACTGGAGCTGAGTTCCTGGTCATTTGCTTCTCACTATTTCTCTTCTAAAATTTCCCCATCCGTGCACACTTTCCCCCATCACCACTTCCCCTTCCTCACAAAACCTTTTGTCTTCCTTGGGAACAAAAATTTGGCCTCTTTTTTTTTTAAGATCACACAAAATCTTCACCCTACAGCTTCACATCCCAGCCTTGACTGCCGGTCTGTGTTCTCCTCTGCAAGTCAAAAGATGCATTTAACAACCCTAGCTTTGCAGCCATGGTTGCAATTGTCCCATGAAGGGAGGAGAAGGGAGCAGCATCGCTGGTGGATGGCTCTCTGTGCAAAAACACAAGACACCCTGTGGTCCTAAATGCACAAGAGGCATTCAAAGAGCCACAAAATCTTGCAGAGGGATGTCTCCGTCATATGGTGGATGTCTGAGTATGTCAAACTCTGCTGTCTCCTCACTGCTTTGGCTGGGTGTCTCAGTGGTGAAGAAGACGTGCTTTCAGTGGCACACAGCTGGGATAAGGAGGATAACCCCTTGAGCTCTGCTGGGGAGCTGGATGAATGAGGCAGAGAGGACACCCCACACAGCCTCTGCCCAGCCTGTCTGCAGCCCATTAGTGGGAGCACGGAGCTCAGTGCCCAGCACGGGGTGGGAGAACAGGGACCTGGGCAGCTCACAGGCAGCAAGGCACGACCCTCATGGCAAATCCAGAGGGAAAATACACTTTAATGTCAGGTGGAGGGAAAAATTATAATATAAAATTAGTTATAAATGTAAATGTCACTGATAAAACTCAAGTGTCCACTTGGGGGTGGCAAAGTATTTCAGCTGTGTCTTCAGGGAGCAAAAATTGCATTTTCTCTCCAGGTCCTTGTGTGTATCTGTTACCCTCTCCAGGGCTTGTTTCTCAAGATTGAAGCTGATAAAATGGGTCTGACAGAAAACATGGACTAAAATTCCCCCTGTGTTGCAAGAAAAGGTGACTCACCAACGGCCACGAGCCCCTCCAGATCTCGCCATATGCAGGAGTCCCACAGTGAGAGGCAAAACAGAAGACTGGGGCAAACAAGGTAAGAGCCCATCTTAGCAGGAATATAACCCCTCCCTCCTACAGCGGGAAATGTCATCTGGATCCCCAGTGACTAGACTGGAATAAGCCTTTATGTATGCAGTGCATCATTTTTCAGGAACTAATGTTCTTATTCGTTATGATAACTCTGTGTACTCTGGCTATGTAAGTGAGTCCCAGCCCCTTGGTGACACACATCGGATGATCTTCTGGGGCAGTGTGTGCCAAGTCTGAGCCCAGCGCTGTGGCTAAACCTACCCCTGCGTCATGATGCACATGAGAGGCATTTCTCCGAAATCCGACAAACAGGCTTTGAGACTCAGGACACAGTGGTTTATAAAATTCTGTCACGTAATGGATTCACCCTGGTCTCCCTTTACAAAACTCTGTAGGGTCCTGACCCTGCAGTCAGCAGAGCTCGGGAACTCATCAGCTTGGGTGGAAGTGTGCTGCTTTCAGGATCTGTTTCTCAGTCCTTCTATTGTGCTTTGTGGCAAAACCTGATTTCAGTAGATGCAATATCATGGCAAAACTTTTTATTGCCTTTGTATCAAGTTCTCTGAGCCTGACGGTTTGTCCCAATTCCATGTGTTGTGAGTGTTGTCCAGGCTTTTCCTGGTGGTTGCTGACCACGTGTAGACCTCTGACTTGTGCAATGCACCTGCTGTGGGCAGGTGTGAAGTCTGCTGAAGCATGACTACAGGGTTTCACTGGCAGAGACAACATGTAAATATCTGAAGTTCAAGCAATGATAAGAAGTTTTTGCAAACTGCAGGACATGGGGCATAGCAGGGACCTACCACAGGCCATCTGTACATGGTCAGACTCAGTTCAGGCAGATGGGTAAAAATAAAACTCTTTGATGCACAGAATAAGCCTGCAAAGGCTGCAGACTTTTCACATTCCCTGGGCAGATATCCCTCTCTACCTGCATTTTAGGCAAAGGAGTCACAACAGGAACATCCTCAGTCCCCAGGAAGATGCCCCATTTCAAACTAAGTAAAAACTGATGTTTAGGCTGGTGCACAAAAAGCCATTTGGTAAAATTTGGACAAGCTGTGTCTCCTTCCTGTGCTGGTAACATTGGGGGTGTGTGTGATTTTTTTTTAAAAGCAGCTCTTTGCTGGCATAGCCTGCAGCCAGTAAGCTGAGATTTCCAGCCCTCCTATTAGCTTGAGGGTAATACAGCGCTTCTCAGCTACCTGCTAATTACAGTCTCCTTGTTAATTCATTCTATAAGACACCTCTGTGAGCTCCTCTTGTTGAAATCATTTTAGGAGAGTCTCTTCTCTTTTTGTTTCTTTAACTCATTTTCTTTAACTTCTCTCTCACCTGCATCACAACTTGGAAAGTCACAGCCCAGTGGAGAGCTGGGAGCTGCTGACAGATGTCCTGTGCGTGCCAGGGAGACTTGAGTCTTCAGCAGAGTCCATGAGATTGCGGTCCTCAACCATGAAGATGCTCTGCTGGGCAGACATCTTGCTGGTGGGATGCTTAGGGGCCCAATGCTCGCAGCAAGGAGAAATCACACTGAGGAAAGCCATCCTGAAACGCTGGGACAGCAGATTGTAAATGATGGGGTTCACGGCAGAGCTCAGATAGAAGAAAACACCTAGGAGAACAATGTGGGGGAAAGCAGAGAGACCTCATTTGTCTGTAAAGTGTTCTCAGAAGAGGTAAATCTCTTCATTGTCTATACTGTTCCACCAAGCCTGGGTGCAAGGGTGGAGGCAGTGACAGCCCATCTGTGCCTGCTGCCATGTCTCGCCAAGGCTGGCTCAGGCACTGCAGCACACAGCGAAAGGGAAGTAGGAGAGGATTAACTGGAGCTCGCTATCTCCAGCTGTTCAGGAACCAGCTCTCTCTTGAGCCATCCCGACCTGCCTCTGGCACAGCCCGCATCCCCACAGCAGGACTGGCACAGCTGGTGCCCCATTAGAGCTGTCAGGGGAGAACCTCCAGCCAAGGGGAGCTCATTTCTTACACACACCAGGACAATTGCATGAGATTGGATTTGTCTGAGCCAGGGGAGAACCTCCAGCCAAGGGGAGCTCGTTTCTTACACACACCAGGACAATCGCATGAGATTGGATTTGTCTGAGTTGCCTAATGGCCACATTCAGTGTTTTCCCATGGCAGACTGAAAATAAGATTCCTCTTTGAAAAAGCCTTCATTTCATGGTTGGCAGGGCCATAAACATTTGGGATATCACCCAGGTCTGAGCAGTATGTAAGTCTTTTATCTTGCCATTTGGTAAGGTTTCCCATTTGCCTGAGAGACCCTCTGGAGGATGATGCCTGCTGCTGTGTATTCATTAAAAGCAGCTGAATGACAGCATTCATTTCTGAACATTCCCAAGGAGGAAAAGCAGCTAGTAATGATGCACGATATACTATTCATTAAAAGCAGCTGAATGACAGCAGACTTCATTTCTGAACATTCCCAAGAAGGAAAAGCAGCTGGTAATGATGCACGATATCCTTTTTTATTTTTGTTTGTTTGTTTTTTCTTTGGGAATATTCAGAAAACTGTATTGGACAACATGCCCAGATCTTGAAATCTGCAGAAACCTGTATGCAGTTTTTATTTCAGGCACAATTCTCACCACTATCCACCAAACCCCAAGAAGGTTTTCCATACGTGTTTCATGTCACCTACAAAATAAATTACTACATATTTCAGGTAAACCACGCACAAATACTTATTTTGCCAGCTGCCGTGCAAGTAGAAGAAGGAAGCTTTACCTGACACCACATGAATTAAGTTGAAGATATTCGCCAGAGGCTCAGTCCATTCCACAACAAAGCTGAAGAAGAGTCGATCTATATGGAACGGAGCCCAGCAGATAGCAAAAACTATCACGAGGACAACTAGCATGGAGAAAGGGGAGAAGAAAAACAAGTCAGTTACGGAAGGATATGGTTTACTAGCCTGCACAGAGCAGAGAAAGTTCAGAAAGATGGATGAAAGACTAAATATACAAATTTATTCATTGTTTTAAAACTTTTGCCATCCTTTCTGACTTACCATTACCAGCTAAAAGAACAAACTTTCCATTGACTTCTGTGTGACTTAACGGTCACACATGGTCACTTAAGATGGTGACTTAAGCTGCCTAAAGGAATAATGTTGTTGCAGGAAATATTGAAGGCGATTTATGTTTCCTGCATAAATACCATCTTAGTGGCAAGATGATCTTTGCCTTAAAGACAGCACTACATTAGGAAGTGCTGCGAGTGCTTTCAGAGTGGTTGGAACACAAATTCTCCTGAATGTTATGCAAATGTTACGTGCAAATCTGCTGAGGTCCTACTTTTTATTTGGAATATCTAAGTGGTTAAGTCAGCAGAAGATGTTGTGTCTGGGTTGGCAGGACCTTTCCGTTCTTGATCAGAGCTCGTGTTATGATGCAAATCAGATGTACGTCCTTCTTTAAAAATGTACAAGATAGGCTACTTACACTCTGAAAAAGAGGAATCCTCTCTAGAAGGCTGCAAGAACCTGGTTTGGAGTGAGGGATATTAGAGAGTTCCCAAGCAACCATCTGCTACATAGGTTTGCTCAACCTCCTCTTGAGCTAGGGAGGAAAATTTGCCTTCTGAATTTTTTGATAAAACAGATAAAACAGCAACAAGCCTTTTTTTTTTTTTATCATTAACTACTCATCTCATAAGTCTTGTATCCAGTGAATTTGCTTGATACCCATCAGGACCTAGTCACGCTCTTGTCCATGGTAAATAGAACACAGAAGGGTTCGCTACTTACACAACATCTTGGTGACTGATTTCCTGGATGGTCTCTGAACATTCACAGCCATTTCCTCTACTTCCAAAGATTTGTCTCCTTTCAACTGGCGAGAGGAGGGAAACCAAAGAAGAGCTTAGACAGTAGATGACATCCCCAGTATATTTTGATAACTGCAATTTGAGAAGGCAAAATTTGGGGCAAATCAGGACTCACTGAAAAAAATCTAGATTCAAATTTCATTGTTAGTCTAGGGAAACATTGAAGCTTTAGGTTTAAAACAATCTGCAGATTTTATGTATCTGAGACTGCACATTTACAACAAATTTGTATTTCAGTTCCCCGCTTGTCCTTTTTTCAATGAGTCAATATTTGGTTCACAGTTTGTGTTCAGTTTCAACAGGATTGTGCTAGGCATTATTTTCTTTGTTTGTTTATTTTCCAGAAAGGGTTCCCCACAATTAAGCACAAACCAATGATCCAAAAAACACCCAGAGAGGCCTCAGTGAAACACAACTGTAATCACTGGAAAAATTCCTGTAGAATTAAAGTGAGTTCATTTCAAGCCCTGAGTATTTGGACTAACTGATATTCAGTCCATCTAATGAACAAAACCCGTATATGTTCTCTTGCAGACATCCTGTGTGCATGATATTCACAGATTCAGCCACATACTCCTCAATTACAACAAGGTGGTTTGTTTTTTTTTTTTTTTTCTTTCTCTACAGTTGTTTTTCCTGGACTTCTAAAAAAAGGACATAAAGAATAATAATCTGATCCTTCCTGAAATGCTTCCCCAATACGCTTACGGTGAGTGCACTGTTGCTTTGGTGATGAGAAGATCAGGAGTAGGAAATCAGGACAATTGTTTTGATTATAAAAGAAATAATCTATGGAGAGTGCATAACTTGACCTAGCTTCCCGAAGTTGGAACTTCTGATTAGCCAACAGATTTGGAGTTGCATTTTTTTTTCAACTGAGAGGAACTGTAAACAAAACATTTAATTACATGGGAAAGAATTTCAGGAATGAGGGAAAAGATAGAAATCAGTCTGGATTTGTAAAAGTCTTGTGAAAACATGCTAATTGTGCCATTTTCTTTTGCCTTTTACCCTGTGACTTTGCTTCCTGATTTTTTGAGTAACAACACTTTTCTGTAAGGATGATCAGATGACACTTTCCTTCAACGTTCTATTTGTTCATAAAACCCATAAAAGGCAAACACATGTAAATCAAATTATATTTAATTCAGCCTCTCATGTTTTACATTATTCCCTTTGTAACTTTTAGTCACAGCCACAGTTGTTTAGGGAAGAGGCTCAGTTGATTTGAAACACATCTAGCGATAAATATCTGCTCAGATTGATTAAAATCCCACGTTTCCCTTCAGCAGTTTTCAGTCTCAACAGTGATCTATTCCAGGCATATTCCGAAACCTTAGAGAATACAGTGCTCTGATGCTGTAATAAACCAGAGACGTGTATCTTTATTTTTTACCTTCCTCCCATCATTTTGATGATGTCTTAAGGCTCCTCTTCAGCCTCAAGTGATAATAGATGGAGGTGTAACTAGTAAGAATAACTGAGCAGTTGCAATTTAACTAAACAATGAGTTATGCAAAGAGGAAGGGAATAAAAAAAAAGAGTCCATAGCAAAGGTTGTAACTTGGGTTCATGTCAATGGTTAGACAGAGGGAGAACTCCAGCCAAGGTGGCGGTTACTTTCATATCACTGTGGATGTATGAAGCTATGTAGGGTTGCCTGGAGATGAATGTTACCCGTTACACTGCAAGAGAATTAAAAGTGTCTGGAGCAGGAAGCTGAAAATTGGATTTTCCCCCACATCTTTATTAGCTACAGCATTTCATACTAGAAATCAAAAGGCAGAGCGAAAGTAGGGCCTTACCTATCCCCAGGCAAACCTAGTGAGGCCACTCAGCAAAAGCAGGAGAACCGTTTTCTGTAAGCTCCTTGGCCTGACACAAGTGGTGATCACACTTTCTCCCCAGCTGAAGGAAAAATTGATGTTTAAAAACTGCATGGCTTGGGCTAAAGCACACAATTCTGCCTACTTGAGTGATCTGGATGAAGCAGTTGCCCCCTGTCTGCTGAACTGTAGCCTGGGTGTACTCTTTGCTCATTCCCATTGTAAAGGAAATTTTGTTAGTGGGTGCAAGGTTTGTAGGACAACCTCCATGGGAAGAGGATAGACCCTTCCAGGGCTGTGCTGGGCTCTGCAGAAATCAGCCAAAGGCAGTCAACTGTCCACAGATGATTCTGGTTCTAACAACTGGGCATTTAGGGGGCAAAAACAGATTTTGATGAGAAAATCTGGAGCAGCTGGATGTTGGCAAGAATATGTTGTCTTGATTCAACGATAGTTGAAATCAAAATTACCTGTCTGTCCAATGTGTTACTGAGGGGAAGTGACACTAACAGAAGTGTCGGACTGTTAACAGAACCATCCTAGGTGAGGTCAATCTAGTCCCATCTGATCATCTAGATCCCTTCAGAGACGTCTGAAGTAGGTGTGATAAAATCTCTGGACTCTCCACCCTCCTAAATCACTGTCAAAAATCCTAGTGAAACAGAATCTGACTTTTAAACAACTGGAGATAGCCACCTGTCCCTGCATCCCTTTAGAAATCAGTTTGAAGGAAATGGACAGGGACCCCACACTGAATCCTGCTGTGACACAGACTGCTTCCCAAGCAATACCACCCCATCTCTACCAGCGCTGCAGGGATGAGCTTCTACAAGCAGCCTTTTCCCTATGTTCTCATTTTCTCCCCCTCCTCTTCCTCATCAGCTTTGTTTGGCATTAGGTTGACACCAGTAGCCCAACAGCTAAACTGGGTTTAAAGAAGAGCCTGGCTTATCTAGGAATTGGTCCTAAAGGCACCTGTGATGAGGGTCCCGTGCAAGAGGTAGCAGCAAGCTTCCACAATGAAATCTAACGTGATTACAGTGTAACCATCAATGTCATCATCTTTACACTAGTGCTGGAACTACCTATTGACCGTAACGTTGTAGTATTAACCCACCAGGCTTTAAAATTATATCCAAGTAGATCATGAGGTAATCAACCTGATGGCTCTGTTGGCAATAAATTTCCCAGTGAAAAAGACAAATATCTTTTTCCTTCTTTACAAGGAAAAAAATTAAAAATTAACTCAGTTACCGTATGACTGACGTTTGCTACCTTCTCCCAGCTGCTTAACCTGTCACACATGCTTCTTTCTGTATTGCATCTTGAGGCTCTCCTGAGCACTGGCAAAGCTTGAGGGAGAAACTTTGGCGAGGAAATGTGCCTTCCACAAAGCTTGGACTTGGAAAGACTGTGTCTCTGTTTGCTCAACCTGAGCTGTTGTACAACTTTTGAATCAACTCTGAACTTTTCCACTACAGTTTATGAGCAATACATAGCACTCAGGAGACTCTGGAGTGTTGCTGGATTTCATCCTCTGTGAGTAGATAAAGTGTCTTCTCTTGAAAAATTATATGCAGCATTCTACTATCATTTCTTTTGAAAAAAATGAAACTATCTTGCCTAGTGCAATTTAGAGTGCAATGCAGATGATATACTCAGGATAGGTGTTGTTAAAAAATTGGAAGTCTGAGTTTGATAGACAGAAAAGCAGATGCATAAACAATGAGCATTGCAGCCTTTAGGAAAGACAGCTCAAACATATCTGTGAATATACAGAAGTCCTGGGGGAGCAGCCCTTGTCTGTACCCAGCTTCTCTTCTGGGATGGAGACTAGGAATATCTGCTGTCACACGCAGAAGCTGTTGCAATATTCAAGACTTATTTTTATTAGTTAGGAATTTTTTCTTTCTTTTTAAAACTATGTTTTCAGTACTTTTTCCTCCCTCCAGGTCTTATTTTGAAAAATTTTCAGGGAAACTGTGTAAAGACCTCACAACAGTCACTGGGCTGCGGGGATAATTTAACCCATTCATTGCTTTGAAGATCTGCTGTGTGCTGTGGATTTCTGGCAGTTAATTGTTGTGGCTTTTCCTGAGTAAGGACGAATTGCTTCTGTATAGTTTCAGGTTTCAGTAGATACAGCCAGCAAACAAAATGATATATACTCCAGCACAGATTTGATTGAACTTCTTGCACGTTATTCAGTAAGTTCATCCATCTCTACTAGCATATTGCATCCCTTTCTTGCTATATGGTCAGATACAGCTTTTAAAACTTTAAGTTACATTCGGTGCTATGAGATAGGATTTGTATTTTCAAAATATATGTAATGTACGAGAAGAAAAAAATAGTTACATTCGGTGCTATGAGATAGGATTTATATTTTCAAAATATAAGTAATGTACGAGAAGAAAAAAAAATCTACTTGCTATGATTAGCAGTGCATTGCTGTGTTGTGCTACATAGCTTTATAATACTGTGATACCAATTGTTTTATCCATGTATTTCAGTGATGAATACATGGCAAAACTAGTCTCACTTTCTGAAGAGAGGCTGAATATGAGCTCTAAGGTAGCCTTAATTGATGGTGAAACTATGCCATAGTTACATAAAGGTACGATTGCTGAACTTGCGAGCTACAGCAATAAGGTAACATTTCAGTTTATGATGGCTTTGTGAGTTTTAACGACTGAGTATTATCACCATCTTCAGGGAAGGAGAAAAATAAAGTAATGCAATGGAAATTTCACAGTTACAAAGAGAGGGAAACCAAATAATACACAAGATTCAATCACCAGCCTGCTCCTTTTTATTCTTTTCACATTTTCCTTTTGGTGTTCTTTCTTCCAGTCACTACTGCAAAGGTGCAAATCTCTGAGAGGCTGGAACCAATCTGCAGACTTGGATGTTTAAGTGACATTCACATGTGAGCAGCAGTAATGGTAAGTTTTTTAAAAAAAAGATTGGGGTAAATAGTTCTCTAACATAGCTATATTTACTTGAGAATGGGATTACACCGAAGAAACAGCTGGACCCACTGTTTTCAGGGTTTTAAATATTTTGGGGTTTTTTTGAGGTGGGGGGGCAGATGGGTAAGAAAAAGATGAAATCACTTAAAAGACACATACAGACACAAACACATGAGAATGAGCTAAGGAAACACCAAGCATAGTTGGAGTAGGACTTACTCTTAGCCCCATCAGATAGTACAGCACACTTATTACCCCCATGGGCAGGACATAGAAGAGAAGAGCAGTAATCTGGACAATCCAGTTGTAGATCCACATGGGCTTGACTATAGTGCAGGTAGCAGAGCCGGGAACCAGGGTGCCATTGGGGAAATACTGCAGCATGATGCCATGGGTGCCTGTGTTGGGGAGGGCAAAGAGGACAGAGAGGACCCAGAGCACCACGATGGTCCTGAGGGCACGTTTGCGAGTGCTCTCCAGCTTGGCACGGAGAGGATGGAGGATGGCAACATATCTTTCCACGCTGACTGTGGTCACACTGAGGATGGAGGCAAAACACACCGTCTCGAAGAGTGCTGTCTTGAAATAGCAGCCCACAGGCCCAAACAAGAAGGGGTAGTTGCTCCACATCTCATAAACTTCCAGCGGCATCCCGAAAAGCAGCACGAGCAAGTCTGAGACGGCAAGGCTGAAGAGATAGTAATTGGTTGGGGTCTTCATGTTCTGGTGCTTGAGGATCACCAGGCAGACTAAGAAGTTGCCTACCACCCCAACGACGAAGATCAGGGTGTACACCAACGCCATGGGCAGGAACAGATGGCTCCGTCTGGGCCCACAGAGGAAGGCTAAGTAATCCTCAGTGCTGTTTAAGTACCTCCTGAGACGTTCTTCATGTAGAGCAAGGTGATTAAACCAGGAGACATTGCTGATCCAGGCCATTACCGATCTTCTGAAATATTTCCCTACTGGGGTCTGGTCTTCTTTCCGTTTCCCTGTGCTAGTTTGCTCACTTCGTGCAGTGAGAGGAAGAGAGGGGGGGGAGTTTTCTTGCCAGACCCAGATGCACAAAGCCACTGAGGGATGTGAGGGAGTGTGTTTGCCTGGCTCCGGTGAAGGTTTTGCCGTTGTAACAGCTGTTCCCCGGCAAGGAGTCCCTTAGCCAGAAAGCCCCTCCTTTCACACATATTCATTGGCTCGCTAAGTGCATTAGATTGTAGAGTAAGAGAAGAGGTTCTAGCTACTTGTATCAGCTCCTGTAGCAGATGCATTTACAGAATCAGAAATGTAGGATTTAGAGAGCTGGGAATCTGAAATATAGGATGTGAAACAAGTTGCAGGATGTTTGTATTTGTCAGAGGGTGGGAAACCAGACAAAAAAACCCCTCAAAACTCAGTTTAAATAGTACAAAATTATATTGATGCTACATCAAGTTACGAGCCACAAATGAAAAAAAAAAACCTGGCATGATTTTGTTTTTCAGATCTCTGCTGATTTTTGTTTTCTGTTGTCTACGGCAGGAAATCCTTGGAAACAGAGTTTGATCGGGAGAGTCAACCTGTTTTTGCAGCCATTCATGTGGAATTAAGCTACTATAATGTTTCAGCCTTTTTTAAACATTGTAAATTTTTTTTTCCTGAAATCTCATACAGGGTTTTAGTTGCTCTTCTTATTGCTATAAAAATATTTTCCCGTTTTCCTGGTACACTGGAATCTGATCGCATAGTCTTAGCTAGCCTTGTTTTGGGAATATTTCTGAACACCATACTATTCCAAAGACAGATTTATTGCCTCTGGGACTAGATTTACATGAATTTCTATAAACTCTTATTTCTTCCTGAATGACAACCATTCTGCAAACACACTTTCTGAGCCAAAGAAGTTTATCTGTCAAGGATGATGGCTCTGTCAAAATAGATCATTTAGCTCCTTCTGAATGCTTGATTCTTTACTGAATCCCTCTAAAACAAAGCAGCTTCAGGATGCATGGATCTCATTTTCTGAGTTTCAGAAAAACTTTAGCTGTTTGGAATTGAAGAGGCGCAAAAGCGGAGGGCTAGTTTATGGGATTTTTGTCAGCCTGATGTGCAATTTGTCTGCCCAGTACCTCTCGCTACCTCTCACTTTTGAGTACCTGCCCAGTTCCATTCTTGGAGCCGTGTAAACTTCTTACATCCTTGACATCCTTTGCCAAGGAGCTCCTTGGATCTATATCTGTGTGAACCACCTTCTTTTCTCTATTTGACCCTTTAGCCGAGTCTGCCTGGCTGCTAACATAAGACTGCATATTTTTAACCATCCAGGAGCAAAAGAACAGCCCTTTTGGCTGGCATCTCCTCCAAAATCCTGATAAAAGCAAGGTTTCCTAGGAAGCTGCAAACTACTCCGCTGTAAGTGCAAGACAGTAAACTGATCCCACACAAAACTCCTAAGAACTGAGGGTGCCTGAGATCCTGTCTTCTTTACTCCTTCCCTCTTTAACTTCTTCTGGTTTAGTAGCAGTCCAATAACCTCACAAGAAAAAAAATATTGTTGTAATAAGCACAGACTGCCTCCAAAAATAGCAGCAATATGTGAAGAACCAAGGTTTGGTTTCATTGAGGCATACTCGATGTGTGGAGCCTGAGGATCACTGTGCATTCATTTAAAACGATAAAGGCATGGAAGGTACCACAGAAACTGTAATAAAAGACAAAGCAAGTCTCTTGTGATGACTTTCGGATCTGCTGAAATTATCTCACATATAAACTGTCTCTGTCAGAAAGATCCTACTCATTTATCAGAGGTATTTCGTTCAGAAGATTGAAAGAATTTATTCAGTTAGTGAGCAACAAGTGTGCTCTTTTGACCTATTTCTCCCTTCATTAAAGATTCATCTTAAAGAGATTCCTTGCATTTTAACAACGCTGAATTTGATTTTGATCTGTTATTGGTGTAAGAGGCAGGAACAGAGGAATCATTAGTAGGGTGCCTGGTTGAGAACCAGATTGACTGTTTCAGAGCACAGCATGAGACAAGTAGCTGAGAATTTGTGTAAGACTAAATATTTTTTGTACCTCTGCTTAATTTTCAAGATTTTTTTTTCCCCTGTAATGTCTCAATATTTCATTTCTTTCCATTTCTCCTTTTTCCTCCCCCAGCAGATTCCACCACTCTCTGTACTGCATCATAACTGAGGTGAGTAAACACTCCTAAAGTAGCCACCCAATTGGTCTTCACTTTTTTTCTTACACACTAACCTCTGTAAAGAAACTGAACAGGAAACCTGAGGTCTGCTCAGCTTGAACTCAGTCTTACAGAAAAGGAAATCAAAATGGATGGAGTTACTTACTAAAAAGCCAACAAGGCAGCCGTACCCATCACGATCTGTATGATGGGAAAGAAATGGGCTGTGGAAACACATCAGGTCGCTTAAAGTGTGGATGTGCCAGGCCCACCTGTGTCTGCTTCGACTTGTTCTCCTTCTTGATCCTTTCTAACCCTTCTGGGCTCAGGTGCTGACAACCTGTACGAATAGAAGCAGAGAAGAAAAACAGGTCTATTTGTCTAACAGGTCACCTCTGGAACCACATTGCTATGACCACAATTTAGTGGCAGATGGAGAGGACAAGGAGAGTGGAAAACATATTTCAGTTCATTTCTCGAAGCTTTATTCGGTGTTTTTTATCATATCTATCTCAATAAGGATAGGAGAGTGTATCTAACCAAAGACTAGCCCTGGCTCTGTATGACTGGATGTATTTTATTTTTACAACTCAGACAGAAAATAAAAACAGATTTTCCTTTTGAAAGTAATATTAAAGCATTTGATATTTCTCATTGTAAAGCACACTTCATCGGTGCTTGCTGTTATACGCTCTAAGGAAGATGGTGTGCCGCACCCTGGCCTTAGAATTGTGCAGTTTTATGTAATAATAATGTACTATTTCCATAACGTAATGTACACTATGTAATGCACTTGAGCTGACATCTCTGAGCAGCCCTGCATGGGACGTTGCTCAGGGTTTGCAAGAAAGTGCTGTGACGCTTACTGTGCATGCACCCTTAGAAAGACATCCTACTTCACGGGAAGGGCTTGAAGAGGTATTGGCTTTGCCATAATACTTGACAAGCAGGTCCACTATTTTTTATCTTTGGCAATTACAACCTGGCCTTTCATTTCTAATTCCCAATTTCCTTCTGCAGCCATCAGATTCTGTTGTTTGGGTGGTTTCACCCTTTCTCCAATTTGTAGCTACTGAAGGAAGTTGTAAAAGCATTTAAAAACTCTGTGTGAGGGGACTGCTCTCCAGCCCATCTGAGCTGACTTTTCCTACTCTTTTCATGGAGCCTTTCAGAGCTGCCCATGGAGCCACACTGCTTTCTGAATTGCAGGTTCAAACTCCCTGTTTTAATCTTTTGAGAATTTGGTAGTACCAACTACTTCTGTCCCATAGGGATGCAAATAAGAGGGCGTGGATCTGGTAAGTAGAAATGTTAAGCCATACCACACTGAATACATTAACACAATTACTAGAAAAATACAACCCCACTCTCCTTATAAATTAATTATTAAGCTATAATTATATTATTTTTTTTTTCCTACTTTGAAAGGCTTGTTTAGTTCACTACAGTAGCTGGAATGTGAGTCCTTGTTTTTCTAAGTATATTCAGTATAACATTCAACATGCCACCAAATGCACAAACACATTTTGTATATCTTCTCTCCCTCCAGGCTGGAGAAGCGCGCTGCACTAGAATAATAGGTGGATCTGCAGTAGCCTTTCCATGTCTTATTGTAACTCATTTTGCAATTATCTAGGTTCTTTGCAGACAGCTTTTCCATGGCTGTGCATGATATCTGAAGTCCCCAGGATATCAATCAAGACACATAAGAAGTGGATGACTACAGCACAAAACACCAAGGAGGGCACCAGCCTGGAGCAGCTGGCAATCTGCACAGACAGTGCAGGGACAGGGCACTCATGAGTGGAACTCATTTTGCCTGGCTTTAGTCACTAAAAGCAGCAAATGAGTCTATGCAGATTTTTTCAGGCTCCTACTTTCATCAATAATGGAAAGGGGAAGCTCCAGAGAGTGATTTGTCCTAAACCATAGCACAAGGTAAGAGCTATGAAATGGGGAAGCTTATTTTTTCCTATTGTCTGCAGAGGGAAAGTGGATAATGAGGTTTAACAACAAGCTTGCTAAACAGCTGAAATGAATTTAAACCCTGATTTTGTGCAGTCTTACCCATCCTCCTCCCATCAGGACCAGTCTTTAGAGGGAGCCGTGTACAGGCTTCATCTTTGAGAAGCTGTTGGAAGAGCTGAAAACAGGGCCAGAGAGCCAGCAGGTGAAGAGTGGGGACAGTCCAGTGCTATAAATCACTCCCTGCTCCTCTCTTATGTAGCAGGCTGGATGTACCCATTGACACAGCTTTCAGCGATGGCTTGCTTTGTCGGTGTTGACTCCAGAAATGAGTGGGAATTACATCCTTCCTTTTTACTAAGTGTTTTGTGTTTGTTTATATGAGCGTGTGCTCATACTTTGAAGAGGTAGTGGGTGGCAGGTAGGGATGTGATTCAGGCTTGACATGCAGGGGAGCACCAAAAAGAGCTGGAAAAGAACTCTGAAGCAGAAATTCTTGTCATACTGAACGCATCCATCACGACAAAATGTTTGCTATTTACATGTGGGAAGATGAAAGGATTGTCATGGCGGAGAATGTACTGAAGTCACAAACACAGGGCAGAATGAGTCAGATTGTCTGAGTCAGGAGGGATCTGGTAGTACAGGACTCAGATTTATGCAGGAAGAATCAGATTATTCAGCATCTCTCTATGGCTTTCTGCATCTTATTACAGTATTGATACTCCACTGGGGTTTATTCCTCTCCTTGTGGTGTATACACTTCTTGGGAGAGCTCAACTCACTTGATTGTCTGACCCAAAAGAGAATT